CCGCCCAGGCACCCCTAAATCACCTCCCCTGTCACTAATTACCCACCTGCCCGCGTTTACGGCCTGACCGAGGGCTGGATGTGAAAAGCCGCACTGACAGCGACTGACGGCAGCGCACGCGGATCGCCATTAGCCCCTAACGAGGCAGTTAAACAATTAGCCGGGCCGGGCCGGGGAATGGGGGCGGGGGGGGCTCTGCCCGGCGCTGACAGCCAGCCCCGGGTGGACAGTGGGCACATCCCCGCCCCCCCCAAGACAGCCAGTTCTCCCAGTTTAACTCTTGGGGATGGATAACGGGGTACTGGTCACATCTGAGAGCCTGAAACCATCATCTTTATTTCTGTTTTCACTTTAGAAATAAAAAAAAGCTCACTTCCTGTAGAGCCCTTTACCTTTATAAATAATAATACATGTCATTGTCCCCCCCTCCCCGACGCTGCAGCCGCTGGGGGGTGTGTGGACACAGGGGCCTTCAGCCCCCACACTCCCTGCCCGACACCTTCTTCAGGGTCACCAGTTGGGAGACCTTCGGGCACCACCAGAAGACCTGACCCCCCCCATTCCCACCCACTGCAGCCCCGGGGTGTCCCCCCCAAGCAGGGATGGAGGCAGCTTTTGGGGACCACCACCAGCAGCATCAGCACCTCCACGCTGGGGCCCAGTTAGGGTCCGGTGGAGCCCACGGTATCCTCACAGGAGATGCAGGCAACCCATCTACACCTGGGTTATAGATTATTAAAAACTGTTAACTATTTCAATGAGCACATAAAAAAGGTCCAAGTAGCACGGTGCACAAGAGAGCAGAAGGTCCTTGCCGGTGTTCACACTCAGGTGTGTGAGGCAATCCCCAGGAGCAAGCCCTGGCCAGTCCCTGGGATCACCCATTCCAGGGTCAGTTTAACTCTTGGGAAGAGACAACATCAATTTGAGATGCATCTTCTCTCCTGCAAGACGCCCCCAGGAGAGGAGGAGGATGGGTAGCCCCGTGCCTGGGCCCACGGGCGCAGTCACAGAATACATCTGGGTTCCCCCAGCCCCCACCCCAGAGCTGAACCGCACAGACCCCCCCCAGGGCCAAAACCCACTGCTGGCTCTGGGTTTGACAGCATCAGGGGACCATGGAGCTCTGGGACCCGTAAGGTGTCCCCCACCGCTCCTCCCACCAGCTGAGGGCTCATCCTGCTCCTGCCCCACACACAGAGACAGGTTTTGGCAACAGGAGGGGTTTAACGGGCCACGAAGAGAAGGGGTGCCCCAGGTCACCCAAACACCCGTCACCGCAAGCCCAACGTCTTCACCGTAATTTCTAGGAAAAGCAAATGCAGCACCTTATGTTTGGGGCAATGAAGCAGTGAATTTGCTGCTTTGACATCCCACTTCAGTGCCCGTGGGGAGCAGTCCCATGGGGGGTGCCCAGGGGAATGCTGTGCTGAGGAAAGGAGCCAAGGCATCACGTTCACGGGACATGGTGCATCAGTGACCTCTCCCTGGAACATTTATTTCTGTTGATCCAGGGACCAGGTCGTGCTGAAAATCAAAACATCCTCTGCTGCTGGGAAAGAGGGCAACGGGTACCTCCAGCCTCCACCAGGAGGACGGACAGTATCTCCAGAAGAGACAAGCTCTAATGTGGGGCGATAACACGGCACCTGCACAGGGCAGGAGGAGACACGATCCCACCAGTTGAGGAGCAGGACCCCCAATAGGTGCCATGGCAGCAGCACAACCCCCCTGCTGCGGCCCCTTCCAGCTGGGGAGAAGACAACTAATTGCCAAATGCAACTCCCGAGAACACGGGGCTGAGCCACCACCACTCCCCAGGACACCGGGAGAGCAAAGTGCTCAGGGCAACCCACCTCAGGCATGGAAGAGCAACACCAGGACACAGACAGCAGACAAGGGGCCTGTCCAGACAACAGCTCTCCTGATACCAACCAAAGAACACATTTCTACCTTCTCATGTCACGTCTGTACAATCCACGATGCAGAGAAACCTCCTGTGTGACAACCCCTGACTCTCACCGCGAGGAGCCGAGATCCAGGCACTGGATCCATCACCTTATACCTCAAACCCTGCGAGCACCGGGGGCCGGTCGTCGTCTTCTTTAAGCCATGACCCCTGTTATTCCTGTCACATCTGCACCCGATGAAGCCCCAGGCAGTTACAGGTGGGCGGCCGAGGCAGCGGCACAGGACGGAGCGCTCCCGGCAGCGTGCGAAGGCTGTGCCTCCTCCTCCGCCTGCGGGGAGGACACCGCGTACTCTGCTCACTCAGGCACTTCATTCGGGCATAGCAAAACTTTTATTTACAACAGGTTAATTAAAAAAATATTTGACAAAAAAGGCATACAGTATTTTATACTAAAAGAATAAAGATTTTTATTAAGCACTGTAAGTTGCATTCAATAGCCTTCAAATACATCACACCACAATCCATCTACAACCAACCAAACCCAACAGTAGTTCATTCTTGCACAATCCATGAGTTGGGGCAGAACTCCCTTCAACTTACATTAAGATACCTACTTAGCTCTTGCGGGCAGGGAATGGGGAATTACACCTCATTTCTGATCACTAATGTGTGATGAAGAGCATCAGGAGAATTATATGAAAACGAATATAAAGAAATGATTCTGATTTTGAAGTACATTAAGTTTGGAAACACTAACAAAAACATCAAAATGATACAGGTATATTTGCTTATACTAAATTCTTGATGGGAAAGTTCTCAAGAACAAGCCATTTGTTTCCTGCTACAGAAGGGGGGTACTTTTTTTTTTTGAAGATCAAAGCTTTTTTTTTTTTGTTTTTCACAGAATTTCATATTTGCTAATATGAAGGCATAAAACAGCAACAGAGAACAATAATGCATACAGCAATGAGTACACCAGGGTAACGTTGATATTCAAAACGGCTAGATAATTTTTTTTTTTTAAGTTTTAGAATAAATGCAACAGAGGTCAATAATCACAAAATTTTAAGGTTAGAGCAAGATCAGTCAATGACTAAACATAGTTAACATCTTTTATAGGACTATTACTGATTATTAGCTTTTTGTTTTGCAAATGGGCACAGTACTTGTAAGAATGGAAGAAAGAGGACAATAACATGCATAATATTAACTACACACTTTAAAAATTATGAACCATGCAGAAGTTTAGCTCAAATAGTAGTACTAATGGTCTACGTCTGATTCAAAACCACATAGTTCATTGATCACGGATGCATGGTATTAGTCACAAAAAGTTTCAGAACACATTGTGTTTATTTTGAAAGGTCATTTGCATCTTCTATGATGTCAAGTTTATCTCCATTTAACTCGCTTGTAAAGTATGTATGATGTATATTTAAAATCAGCAGAACTGCAATATTACTCTATAATTTTTAGTTTCGATAGTTTGCACATTTTAACACAAAAGAACCACATCAACGGTGATGAAATTTAAGAAAGAAAAAACTGTGGTTGTGCCTTTTTCCCCCCATAATCATGAAATCAAAGCCTTAAAGAAAGCTTTATTGTGACACAGTAATGCAAAATCAAATATAATGGCATACATATGGTGCCAAGTACTAAAAATTATATTTTAAGCTATATATACTTAAAGACTGCCAAAATTTGTTTTCTTTATATTTCAAAAAACAAAACTACAAGCTTTTGTCATAACCAGTTTAAACTTTATGTATATTTCATTTTAAGTGCGGGAGTCAAATGCTCTTCATTCTCTTTCTTTTTTGTTTTATTGTAGCATTTTGACTACAACTGGTTAAAACTAAAAATGTGTTGTTTAAATCTCTTACATCAAAGAGGGATCCGAATTTCCAAAGTCCTCATTTT